ACGGGGTTTCACCATGTTGGCCAGGCTGGTTTCAAATTTCTGACCTCAGGTGATCCACCCCCATCGGCCTCCCACTGGGATTACAGGTGTGAGCCACCGTGCATGGCCGCCCAAGTGTTTTTTTATCTAGCCACTAGATTGTGTGCTGCTCGAGGACTCTTATGGGATTGTGCCTTATTTGTGTTTTGATTTCCTTTGCCTAGACAGCTGCTCAATATTTGTTGAAACAATAATGAATGGATCTGTAACATGGGGACAGAGGACCAGATCTGGAGACCTTTCTAGACCTTGTCTTCTGTGTAGACAGATTGATCTGGGAACTAGTTTTGAACTTGAAGACACACACAGACCTACTTCACAGCCCTTTTCTAGTCTTTAGTCATTTTATTATACTTTTTGCCATCTGTCTTGTATTGCCATTTGAAACCATTCTAGTGAATGAAATGTAAATTACGTTCTTATTTGTTTCTAGGAAGCAAGATTTCCAGATGTAGCAAATGGATTTATTGAGGAAATAATTCATTTGAAGAATTATTATGATCTGAATGTGTAAGTATACTACCATAGTTTTTTTGTTGTGGTGGTAAAATATATATAACATAAAATTTGTCGTTTTAGTCCTTTTTAAATATACAATTCAGTGTTAAGTAAATTCACATTATTATGCAACTATCACCATCATCCATCTCCAGAACGCTTTCATCTTCTCAAACTGAAACTCTGTCCCCATTAAACACACTCCCCATTCCCCTCCCTAGCCAGTGGCACCTACCGTCCTACTTTCTGTCTTCATGGATTTGACTACTATCAGGGACGTCGTGTATTTGTTCTTCTCTGACTGGCTTATTTCACTTGGCATTATGTCTTTTTTAGTGACCTTATTCATTCTGATATTAGTCATATACAGACTGTTTTCTGGATCTTGTGGAATACTGCATGGTTATAGAATTATGAGACTGAGTTTCTGAGCATTGATACTACCTGTGTTTTAGTCAAGATGTTAGAAGACATTTTCTTCCCTACAATTGTAACAAAATATTCTGCAACCACTCTGTTTGGAGAAATACATGGAAGCATTTCTTAATTTTTATTATAAAAGGGATAAATATGGGCCAGATCACAGCACTTGGGAGGCTGAGGCAAGAGGAGTGCCTGAGTCCAGGAATTCAAGGCTGCAATGAGCTATATTCATACTACTGCATGCCAGCCTGGATGACAGAATGAGACCATATCTCTATTAATATATATGCCTTTTTAAAAAGTAAGTTTTCCTGAAGATTATAAAAGGAAAAATAAGTCTCATACTCTTCCCCTTCCTCTGACCTGCAGAGGTGAAACAGTTGTGTAAAAAAAAAAATTTTTTTTTTTTTTTTTTTGAGACGGAGTTTCGCTCTTGTTGCCCAGGCTGGAGTGCAATGGCGCAATCTCAGCTCACCGCAACCTCCGCCTCCTGGGTTCAGGCAATTCTCCTGCCTCAGCCTCCTGAGTAGCTGGGATTACAGGCATGCGCCACCATGCCCAGCTGATTTTTTTGTATTTTTAGTAGAGACGGGGTTTCACCATGTTGACCAGGATGGTCTCGATCTCTTGACCTCGTGATCCACCCGCCTCGGCCTCCCAAAGTGCTGGGATTACAGGCTTGAGCCACCGCGCCCGGCCCAAAAAAAATTTTTTTTTAAAGATGGAGTCTCGTTCTGTTGCTCAGGCTAGAGTGCAGTGAGACAGTCTTGGCTCACTGAAATGTCAACCTCCCAGGTTCAAGCAATTCTCCTGCCTCAGCCTCCTGAGTAGCTGGGATTACAGGCGCGTGCTACCACGCCCGGCTAATTTTTGTATTTTTAGTAGAGATGGGGGTTTCACCATGTTGGTCAGGCTGGTCTCAAACTCCTGACGTCATGATCTGCCCTGCTCGGCCTCCCAAAGAGCTGGGGTTACAGGCGTGAGCCACCACACTCAGCCTAATTGTAAATTTAAACAAAATAGACAGTTCACCAAACACCTTTCCTCAAAGTTCATGTCCCATACTATAACTCACAGTCATGGGTGCAGGTGAGTTTCTTCCCTGCCAAGGCTGAGAAGGAAGGGTCTCTTTCCAGGTACTTAACTCAATGTAGGTACTTTTTTCTAATTTGTACAGTGACACTGTTGGAGTGGGTAGTAGCCTTGTCTGATCCCACCACCTCTGTACAGAGGCAACCACTGTCATCAGATATTTATTTATTTATGAAACAGAGTCTTGCTTTGTTGCCCAGGCTGGAGTGCAATGGTATGATCTCGGTTCACTGCAACCTCCGCCTCCTGGGTTTAAGTGATTCTCCTGCCTCAGCTTCCTGAGTAGCTGGGATTACCGGCATGGGACCTCACGCCCAGCTAATTTTTGTATTGAGATGGTGTTTCACCCTGTTGGTCAGGCTGGTCTCGAACTCCTGACCTCAGATGATCCACCTACCTTGGCATCCCAAAATGATGGGATTATAGGCATAAGACACCACGCCTGGCCTGTCATCAGATTTAAACAGGACTGCATCCAGGTTTCTTAATGTATTTATCTCTTTAGCCTGTTAATCTCACTTACTTTTTTAAAAATACCATTAACGTTCCCCATCTAGCAGTTTCAAATATAAAAAGTTGAAAGACTGTGCAATGAATACCCATGTATCTACCACCTATATTATTATCTGACATTCTGCTGTAAAGATTTTTACTTCGTCTTTAAAAAAAAAAAATGTAACTGTGGACTTAAGAGTTTTTAAGTGGTGTTTTAGATCAGTCACAATCATTTTCTTTTTGATACTGAAATTGTCCCAGATTTGACCACCAGTGTCTTTTGATCTGATGCCTTTAGTCTTTGAGTACTTCCTTGCTTCCTAGTATACCTTGTTGTCCCAGGCTTACCTTGAATTCTCTGCCCAGAACCTGAAATCATTCATTCTCCGAGAGACCCAGCTTTCTTAAAATGAGGATTGATATTTTTAAACATCTCAGGGCTAGATGTGCTCACCATTGCTACTGGCATGTCATCTGTCTAGGTCCTTTCAAGGGACAGACCAAGGAAATATTTTGGTTGGTAGTTGTTTTTGTTTGTTTGTTTTTGAGATGGAGTCTTGCTCTGTCGCCCAGGCTGGAGTGCAGTGGCGTGATACCAGCTCACTGCAACCTGTGCCTCCTAGGTTCAGGTGATTCTCCTGCCTCAGCCTCCTAAGTAGCTGAGATTATAGGCGCCTGCCACCACACTAGGCTAATTTTTGTATTTTTAATAGAGACGGGGATTTGACCATGTTGGCCAGGTCTCGAACTCCTGACCTCAAGTGATCCACCCGCCTCAGCCTCCCAAAGTGCTGGGTTTACAGGCGTGAGCCACCATACCCAGCCCAGTAGTTGTTTTTTAAATCAGAAATTCATATTCATAATTTCCAATTCAAACTTAACATGAAGGTTTTTTTCTTAATCTTTTTTTGAGACAGAATTTCGTTTTGTTGCCCAGGCCCAGGTTCAAGAGATTCCCCTACCTCGGCCTCCCGATTAGCTGGGATTACAGACATGAGCCACCACACCAGCTAATTTTTGTATTTTTGGTAGAGACGGGGTTTTGCCATGTTGGCCAGGCTGGTCTTGAACTCCTGGACCTCAGGTGATCCCCCTGCCTCAGCCTCCCATAGTGCTGGGATTACAGGTGTGAGCCATGCACCTGGCCTTTCCTTAATCTTTATAAATTTTACTTAACATGCTTCTCAGTAAGGCAAAACCGTTAAGCACGTAGGCTATGAGGCCATAGATTGGTGATATTGGTCAGTTCTGGAAATTTTGTAGCTATTTCCTGTCTTATGTAACTTCTCCCACATCTTCCATGTCTCTAAATCCACCTCTTTGTCTCTGAGATACGTTCTGGATGATCTTTTCAGAGCCGTCTTCTAGCCCACAAACTTCTCTTTGGTAGAGTATGATCTACTTTTTTTTTTTTTTTTTTTTTTTGAGTCGGTGTCTTGCTCTTTTGCACAGGATGGAGTACTGTGGCATGAACTCAGCTCACTGCAACCTCCGTCTCCCAGGTTCAAGCGACTCTCCTGCCTCAGCCTCCCGAGTAGCTGGGACTACATGCACGTGGCACCAAACCCAGCTAATTTTTTGTATTTTTAGTAGAAATGGCATTTCGCCATGTTGGCCAGGAAGGTCTCCATCTCTTAACCTCATGATCCGCCTGCCTTGGTCTCCCAAAGTGCTGGATTACAGGCGTGAGCCACCTCACCCTGCCCAAGTGTAATCTCCTTTTAATCCATCCACTGTGTTACTGTATTTCAGTTATCATATTTTAGCTTTTAATCCGCTTGGTTATTTTCCTAGAGTTTTGCTCTTTGCCTGTATTTTTAATCCTTTTTATTTCTTTAAACAATAACATACGTTCTCTTCTTTTTTTTTTTTATTGTTAACAAGTAGTTGGTATTTTCTCAAACAATAACATAGCTTCTATGTGAGTTTGATTGTTCTGATATATTAGGTTCTTGGGAATCGTATTCTGTTCCTGCCGGCTTCCATGGTGCCTTGCTCTCTTGTGTGTTTTCTAAGTTTAACTGTAAGCTCATGTGTTGAGGTCTTGATAGAGTTGGTTTCTTTAGAGAGGATTTGCTTTTGCTTCTTGCAAGTTCCCAGGGGCATGTTAAGTAAAATTTATAAAGATTAAGGAAAGGCCAGGTGCATGGCTCCTACCTGTAATCCCAGCACTATGGGAGGCTGAGGCAGGGGGATCACCTGAGGTCAGGAGTTCAAGACCAGCCTGTCATGCTGCTTTCAAGTCCCCAGGGGCAGTGTTAGTTTGAAACTACTTTAGATTCCTGTCTTGAAGTTTTTGCATGACTCAAACACTTTTTTTTTTTTTTTTTTTTTTTTTTTTAGAAAAAGTCTGTCTTGCTTTCCTTACCCAGGCTGGAGTGCAATGGCGCTATCTCGGCTCACCGCAACCTCCGCCTCCCGGGTTCAGGCAATTCTCCTGCCTCAGCCTCCTGAGTAGCTGGGATTACAGGCACGTGCCACCATGCCCAGCTAATTTTTTGTATTTTTAGTAGAGACGGGGTTTCACCATGTTGACCAGGATGGTCTCGATCTCTTGACCTCGTGATCCATCCGCCTCGGCCTCCCAAAGTGCTCGGATTACAGGCTTGAGCCACCGCGCCCGGCCCTAGTTTTTGTATTTTTAATAGAGCTTTATTTTTTACAGCAGTTTTAGGTTTACAGCAAAATTGAGCAGTGATGACTACCTTTTTACAATGAAAAATTTCTTGTAGGCTTCCAGTCATCTAAAAAGCAACTTATATGTGTGAATTGCTTTAACAGTTCTTCAGCAGTACTGAATTAGGATGTTATTTTTTTGTAGTTGTTAACTAGGCATAAAGTAGTCTAGGTGACGTATCTTTGATAACTGGCTGTGTTTTTCATATATTTATTTACTAACTGTATCTCCCTTGCATGTGAATTGTTTACTTCTCTCTTTGAATTCCTTTTTTTGGGGGGTAATGTTTTTCTAGTTGTCAAATATAATACTTGTTTAATTACAGAAAATGTAAATGATAGAAAAAGTATAAACTTAGCTTATTTGTATAATAGTGATTTGAATACCAGATACCATGTTTTAGTATTTTTTAACAACTTAACCTCATATAAATTGAGTATACTTTAATATTTCCCTCCCCTTCTGTGAATGAACATCATATTTTATATATCTTCAAGATTATAAAACATCATTAAAATATAATCAAATTGACGCCTGTTACAGTTCTGTTCTCCTACTTCCTAAGTCTTACACATGGACTTATTTTTAGGGACTTGCTGACTCTCTGTGCTTTTTGTGTCACTCAGAAGCAAACACTGATCCTTAAACACATAAAAATACCCATGAAATCCAGAAAGCAAGGGAATGTACAGTAATAGTATTGCATCTTTTCAAGCCAATCTTGTTTTCCTGACACTGCTTTCCTTTCCATTAGTCCCTGGGCTCCTAGGACAATATTAATTTCACAACTAAACTAAAATGTTGCTAATGTAAACTGGAAGTGAGGCCCAAAGCTGAGTTGAGCAGGCTGGGATTTTGTTGTACCTCAGTCTTAGTTGCTTTATGTGCGTCTTTAAATGACCTTCAGATGGAACCATCTGGCCTTTTCTGTCACCAGGCAGGAGTGCAGTGGTGCGATCTTGGCTTACTGCAATCTCCACCTCCCAGGTTCAAGTGATTCTCCTGCCTCAGCATCCCAAGTAGCTGGGATTACAGTCATGTACCACCATACCCAGCTAATTTTTGTATTTTTAGTAGAGACAGGGTTTCACCATGTTGGCCAGGATGGTCTCCATCTCTTGACCCTGTGATCCACCTGCCTCGGCCTCCCAAAGTGCTAGTATTACAGGTATGAGCCACCGCGCCCAGCCATCTGGCCACTTTAAGCAGCAAGGGCCTATTCATCAGAGAACTTCACATGGCAGGTAGTCTATTCTGGCTGGTTAACTTAGACCTTTCACTCACACACGTGGTCAGCTTCAGTTGGATGAAGGCAGCAACAACTCTCAAAGAGTTGCAAGGTTGGATTACTAGCCTGACTTACTCTTGCAGGAGTGCCTTCTCTAGATCTGCTAGCATGTCAGGTCAGCTCAAGCATGAGATCATGTGAAGAGCTGGGCAGTTTGAAGTCCGACAGGCTTCCCCACTGCTTTTGCCCCAGAGTGCAGATATTAGAACAGAGGCTACCACTTGTTTCTGTGGAGGAAAATCTTTGTCCTTCATTTTCTGTGCTTCCAAATGTCACTTAACCTTCAGAAGAATTCCGTTGGTAAGGATATTGAAGGGATTAAACTAGAAGTGAATTTTGACAGTGTCTAGTGAGAGCTTCTGATTTCTTCTGTGTGGAACTTCATATCTGTAACATTTCAGTATCTAAAGTTCTTAATATTGTTGAAAATACGAATTGGAAAGAGATGACCCTCTCAAACATGTTTTTTTCTTTTTCTTTTTCTTTTTCTTTTTTTTTTTTTTTTTTTTTTTTTTTTT